CACTCCATCACAGCACACAGACCTACCGCACCCTCCATCACAGCACACAGACATATCACACACTCCATCACAGCACACAGACCTACCGCACCCTCCATCACAGCACACAGACATATCACACACTCCATCACAGCACACAGACCTACCGCACCCTCCATCACAGCACACAGACATATCACACACTCCATCACAGCACACAGACCTACCGCACCCTCCATCACAGCACACAGACATATCACACACTCCATCACAGCACACAGACCTACCGCACCCTCCATCACAGCACACAGACATATCACACACTCCATCACAGCACACAGACCTACCGCACCCTCCATCACAGCACACAGACATATCACACACTCCATCACAGCACACAGACCTACCGCACCCTCCATCACAGCACACAGACATATCACACACTCCATCACAGCACACAGACCTACCGCACCCTCCATCACAGCACACAGACATATCACACACTCCATCACAGCACACAGACCTACCGCACCCTCCATCACAGCACACAGACATATCACACACTCCATCACAGCACACAGACCTACCGCACCCTCCATCACAGCACACAGACATATCACACACTCCATCACAGCACACAGACCTACCGCACCCTCCATCACAGCACACAGACATATCACACACTCCATCACAGCACACAGACCTACCGCACCCTCCATCACAGCACACAGACATATCACACACTCCATCACAGCACACAGACCTACCGCACCCTCCATCACAGCACACAGACATATCACACACTCCATCACAGCACACAGACCTACCGCACCCTCCATCACAGCACACAGACATATCACACACTCCATCACAGCACACAGACCTACCGCACCCTCCATCACAGCACACAGACATATCACACACTCCATCACAGCACACAGACCTACCGCACCCTCCATCACAGCACACAGACATATCACACACTCCATCACAGCACACAGACCTACCGCACCCTCCATCACAGCACACAGACATATCACACACTCCATCACAGCACACAGACCTACCGCACCCTCCATCACAGCACACAGACATATCACACACTCCATCACAGCACACAGACCTACCGCACCCTCCATCACAGCACACAGACATATCACACACTCCATCACAGCACACAGACCTACCGCACCCTCCATCACAGCACACAGACATATCACACACTCCATCACAGCACACAGACCTACCGCACCCTCCATCACAGCACACAGACATATCACACACTCCATCACAGCACACAGACCTACCGCACCCTCCATCACAGCACACAGACATATCACACACTCCATCACAGCACACAGACCTACCGCACCCTCCATCACAGCACACAGACATATCACACACTCCATCACAGCACACAGACCTACCGCACACTCCATCACAGCACACAGACCTACCGCACACTCCGTCACAGCACACAGACATACCACACACTCCGTCACAGCACACAGACAGACCACACACTCCATCACAGCACACAGACATACCGCACACTCCATCACAGCACACACACATACCACACACTCCATAACAGCACACAGACACACCACACCACCCAC